TGCACCCATGTCGTGCAATGCCCTTGGAGGTCAGAAGAGGCTGTCAGGTCACCTGGGACTGGAGTTACAGACAGTTGTTAGCTGCCATGTGGCTGCTGGGATTCAAAACTGGGTCTTCTGCAAGAACAACAAGTGTTCTTAGCTGCTGAGCCATCTCTCCAGCCCCAATGGTTAGTTTTTAATTGTCAACTTGCCACAACCTAGAATCACCTGAGAAGAGTTTCAGTTGAGGAATTATTTAGATCAGGTTGGCCTGTGGGCATGTCTAGGGGGGATGTTGTCTTGGTTGTTAATTGACCCAGCCCCCCTTGGGCAGCACCACTACCTAGGATGGACCCTAGCTAGCTGAGTACTGAGCAGGCAGCATGAGGGCATTTGCTTCTCTCTGCTCTTGGCTGTGGATGTGATGTCACCAACTGTCTCAGGCTCCTGTCTCTGTGGCTTCCTGTCATGATGGAACTGTGAGCTAAAATAAACCCCTTCTCCTCTAAGTTGCCTTTGGTCAGGATGTTTTATCACAGCAACAGAAAACTAATTAGAACACTGACTTTTCTTATTGCTTTGGCAAAATATCCAGCAAAATCACTTTAAAGAAGGCAAAGTTTATTTTAGCTTATAGTTCAGGGTACAGTTCATCATGGGGGAAGAAATGACAGTGAGAGGGGTTCTGGCTGTGGTGGTGGGATCATGAGATGGCTGGTCACATTGTGCCCACAGTTAGAGGCAGAGAGGGATGAATGTTGGTACTCAGCTTGCTTTCTCCTCCCCCTCTTTTTAAAAAAATGAATTATTTTATTGTACGTGTGTGTATATGTGATGCGTGCATGCATGTGTGTGCGTGTGCCTCATGTGTATGCAGTGTCTGTGGAAACCAGAACAGGGCTTTAGGTCTCCTGGAACTGGAGTTACAGACATTGTGAGCTGTAATGTGGCTGCTGAGACCCAAACTTGTGTCTTCTAGAAGAGCAGGACGCATCCCTAACTGCTAAGCCATCTCTCCAGTCCTCCTTTTCCCATTTTCATTCAGTTCAGGACCCCAGCCTATGGGGTGGGCAGTCCACATTCACAGTGGATCATCCCAACTCAGACCTCTTGGGAAACAGCCTCACAGGCACACCCAGTGGCGTTTCTTCTGGGTGTTTCCAAATCTACTCAAGTTGATCATCACTTAGTGGTTGCAACTAAAATATCCTGTGGGAAAATGAGAAATTAATAGAGGAGCTGGGTCTGTGGAGGAGTGGATTCTGTCAAATACTGCCAACAGTAATGCTATCCACAGCCTATCAAATCATATGTCAAATCATGGAAACAAAAAATTGGTACCCGTGCCTTAGGTACTTTGGTTTGAAAAATGAGTTTCTAGTTATTTTGATTTATATCAAGATCTTAATAAAACAGGAAAAGATTAAAAAAGAAAGTCAACATCATTGTTAGGTTCAGGAAAAGACCAGGACCATAAGACACCACTCCGAGGTGAGAAAAGGAGAAAATTGTTGGGATATATGAACTGCTGGGTCACTCTCACAGGAGAGGGAGAGAGGTCAGCTGTTTCTTATCACAGCAGGCTGGATTTTATAGGGTTTCTTTCATTCGTGGGCAGGGGAGGTGAGGCTGTAGCAGAAAGGGTAGAGGGTGAGTCAATAGCAGGTAGAGTTTCAGTTAGGTATTTTTCTGTTTTTTGGTTGGCTGCAATGGAAAATTGCAGTTATGATTAGGGTATATTGTTAAAAGCAGGAGTCAGGTAGTTACTGAGAAACTTAGTTTCTGTTTTCCAGAATGCTGCCCACTGGGTTGTGGATGCCATGTTGTTGGTCAGTAGTGACTCCATCTTGGGGCCCGGTTAAGCCTAACAATCACATTTTAAAAACCCTACACTTTCCTCATCAGTCGGCCTCCTTATCTTTCCACTGTTAATGGTATCCTGGTTGTTCCTGGTGTGGAGCCACTGCAGGTAATGTTGCTGTGAACGCTCTTCACAAATGTTGGTGAACACTTGCAGGCATTTCTGTTGGATACAGGTTGATTTGCTGTGCCAAAGGGCACCTGCACATTTAGTTTTTGTTTTTGAAAGACTATTTTTTATTTGATGTGTATGTGTGTTTTGCTTTCATATATGTATGTGCACCATGTGCATTCCTGGTGCCTGTAGAGGCCAGAAGAGGGTATCAGATCCCCTGGAACTAGAGTTACAGATAGTTGTGAACTGCCATTTGGGTGCTGGGAGCAGAACCTTGGACCTCTGAAAGAGCTGTCAGTGCTCTTAACTGCTGAACCATTTCTCTAGCCCCCACATTTAGTTTTAGTAGATATGGGTAGACAATTTTCCAATGTAGTAGAAGTTCATACTCATTCTTAAACATAGACTGTAGTAAATTGTAAGTGACTGGCAAAATTGTCCCCCAAATGCACAAAGTAAGAAGATGGGAATGGGAATAGGCACAGTGAAGACTGACAGTGGTGAATATATTGGGTCACAGTCACAGTGTGGCTCTGTGAGTGTCACATGGAAGACAACATGGACCAGTGGTCTGCATTGTCATTTCAAAGGTAGAGGGACTGTCAACCAGTGTTAGCAAAGGAAGGGAAGGTTCCTGTGAAGGGCAGGACACTGTAATGCCGGGTGCATTCTTGGTGGGATGGATTCACTACTCACTTCATCTGTAGTCAGTCCTTGCTGGGTACTGACCACACTTTCAGTATGGTTTCTGGGTCAGGTGGCAAGTGTTCATTCACAGCTGCATTGTTGCACTCACTGTCTAGTTACTTCACATACCAAGGAGAGCATCAGGTGAACAAAGCGGTACTGAGTTTGGAAGCCTGGCTTCAGAATATAGGCTCTGGACTACTCCGCATTCTCCTGTGACATTCCCTTGGCTGGGGCAGATCCTGGAGCAGATTTTTCCAACTATGTCCCATGAGTCATCAGAGCTGCCTCCTTTGAAAGAGTTCTGTGTATGGTAAGCATAGGAAACACCAGGCATTCTTCAACTGTCTCTGAAAATCTCAGTAGACACTAGCATCAAAGGCTCTGATGAATGCTGTTGCCAATAAGAAAGCAAAGCAAGCAAGCAAACAAAAAGCCCACAACACAATCTGGACCTTTTAACTGCTCAGTGTTTCATAAACTTGACCCTTGGAACCCCTGCCAATAAAATTCCTATTGTATTTAACAGATATATTCTGCAAAGCACCAACAAACAACCTTCTGGAAAACATTAAAGAATTATCTCTGTTCCACACTTTAGGGTTTTTACTCATTAGTAGATATTAGTGAAATAAAGTTAACTCGAGGTCACCATTAAGAGTATTAGAATAGGGGCTGGAGAGAAGGCTCAGTGGTTAAGAGCACTGGCTGCTCTTGCAGAACATGGGTTCAGTTCCCAGCACCCACAGGGTGGCTAACAACCATCCATAACTCTAGTTCCATGGGCTCTGACCTCCATGGGCATTGCATGCATGTGGTACACTTATACACAGATAAAACACCCATACACATAAAATAAAAATATTTAGAGTATCAGAATAAAAAATATCAGTGTATCATTTGAAGTCTTGGTTTCTTGTCCTGTTGCTATAATAAAATACCCTAACAAAAGCAACTTAAGGGAGAAAGGGTTTATTTAGCTCACAGCTCCAGCTTGCCACCCCTCATTTAGGGCAGTCACAGCAGCAGGAACTTGAAGCAGAGCAGTGAATTAATGTGGACACACTAGTGCTCAGTTCACTCTCCTTTTCATTCAGCCCAGGGCCCAGCCCATGAAGTGGTGCTGCCCACTTTCAGAGTCTTTCCACCACAGTTAACCCAATTAAGAAAATCCCTCACAATCCTGGTCCCCATATTCTCTCAGGGAACCTGACAGGGGTTAAGAGCATTGACTGCTCTTTCAGAGACTCGGTTTGGTTCCCAGCATCCACATCGAAGCTAACAACCATCTGTATGTAACTCCAATTCCAGGGTATTTGATACCCTCCTGTGAATTCTGCCTGCACTGCATACATGCAGGCAAAACACTCATACACATAAAATAAAAATAAATCTTTGGAGCCAGGCGTGGTGGTGTACACCTCTTTTTTTCTCAAGTATTTTATTATTTTTATTTTACGTGTATGAGTGTATTGCCTGCATGTATGTGAGTGCACCCGTGTTGTGCAATGCCGCGGAGGAGTTAAGGGCTGTTGGTAGCCACCATATGGGTGCTGGGACTCAAACCCGGGTCCTCTGCAAGAGCAGTCAGTGCTCTTAACTGCTGAGTCATCTCTCCAGCCCAGGTGGTGCATGTCTTTAATCCCAGCACTTGGGAGACAGAGGCAAGTGGATTTCTGTGAGTTCAAGGCCAGCCTGGTCTACACAGTGAATTCCAGGCCAGCTGGGGCTACAGGAAGAAGAAGAAAAAAAAGAATCCTGAGATCCAGATATCTGAGGAACAAAACTCTAAGGTCCAGGCACTGTTACCCGAGAGGCCAGTAGGCTTTTAGACTGTAGACCCTTTGGTCTTGCCTGTGCTATAGATAGTTCAGAGGACAAGAAGGAACTGTCCGCATCCAGAGCAGAGAGCTCCGCATCAGTTCCTTACTACAGCTGGGTACACCAGATTCTGCTCTGCGGGAGAAATCTGTTGGTTGTTAATGACTTTCAGTGGTCAGCGGATTTTTTTTTCAAACTATCTATGGGAACAGAGCCCAGACCAGCTGAAGAGGTGCCAATAACAGACTTGTCTTCCTGAGGCTTCTCAGAGGAGGGCGGCAGGGTGCAGGATCCCGGCCGGCCGCGAGGGTTGTACCCACACACCTTAGAGGAGCAATCTCGGTGCCCAGCCTTGGTCTCGGTGCTGCACTGGGGGGCGTGGGCTGCCGGGCGGCGGGGACCCTTTCCTCTCCAGCACCTGGGCCTGCGCTCCAGGCGGCTGGCGCTGGCCAAGACCGGGGGCAGGGCTTTTATTATGAAAGGAGCCTCCCCCTCCCGCGCTTTCTGGGGACTGGGAAGGCTGGGCAGAGCTCATGTGGCTGGAACTTCGCAAACTCTGCAAACGTCCCCAGCACCGCAGATCCTGTGTTCAGCTGGCGCCCAGCTCTGCACAGGCAGTGCATCCCGGTGTGCGTTGCTCCCCAAGGAGCTGGAGCGGGGCCACCTGGCGGCTGGAAAGGTGTGGCCCCGCAGCCCGGGAAACCCGAGCCCTCGCAGCCTGGGTGCTGTGGCTGCTGGATGAGTCTGCCAGCCTGCTGAGCATCGAGGAGCTCGTCGGGCACCGCGGGGACATGGTAGGAATTACAGGAGGGGGCGCACCAAGGCGGGTGGGGCCCAGGACAGGTGGCTGCGGAGCGCACACTGGCTATCCCCTGACTACAGTTCTCTCCCCAGCTCTCAAGTGGGGCTGTAGCAGCATTTATTTCTGCTCAGATCGAGGTGGAGGGCGGGGGAGGGCAGCATTGCTATGGCCCTTGGAGTTGGGTGCTGCCCAAACGTCACAGGTCTGCCTTGATGCCTTTGAACTCACCCTTTTCCCTGTATTAATATTTGAAAAGATCATTTAAATTACCATTCAGTTAAATTTACACTAATGAGATTCCAATGCTCCCACCTCCCTCTACCTGTTGGATGGGAGGACCACAGAGCAAACGTGAGAGTGTGGGTGAGTCTGAAGTGTCATTGATGAAGCTGGGGACTTGTGGACCTGAAACCTCACCAGCATTAAGGGTAAAGACAAAACTAAACAAGAACAACAACAAGAAGAAAAAACAGGACCAGGCCTGGCCATACACACCTTTAACTCCAGCATTTAGGAGGTGGAGGTAGGCAGATCTCTGTGAGTTTGAGGCTAGCCTGGTCTACACTGAGTTCCAGGCTAGCCAGGGCTACATAGTGAGACCCTGTCTCAAAAAAAAACCAAAACCAAAAATAAAATTCCCATTTTCCAAACTTGCCCCCGTGGCTCAGTCAAGGCACTCATGCAAACCCAGGCAAGGGCTTCCTTAAGGCAGGCTGAGATTGCCTCTGCTTCTGGCAGAAAACCAGCAGCCCAGGGCTAGAGTGGGGGTGGGGGGTTGCCTCCTTCTGCTACTGTGTACTCCCTGCCCTCATTCCTTCCCCTCCAGGATTCAGGGCAGATGGGAGACCCCAGACCTGAGCTGTGGGGCCTGGAGCCATGGGCTCCTAGAGTTCCCCTAGGATGTAGGTCAATGTGGGAACTGTTCCCTGTCCAGATGTGAGGACCAAATGGAAGTCTCACCAGCTAGAGCTGGGGATTCAGGGGAGGCCTGATCCAGGTGACCTACTTCTACCAACTAGACCATACTTTCTAAAGTTCCACAGCCTCCCAAAATAGCACCACCAGGTGGGGAACAAGTGTTCAAAATATAAGTCCGTGGGAGTTCAGATACAAACCATAAGGCCCGGCTTAGAGGAACTCAGTCAAACCCAGGAGAACAAATATTTTCACCCTTTTTCCTGATTAAAAGTTTGCCAGTGAGGAGACTAGAGAAATGTCTCAGCAGTTAAGAGCACTGGCTGCTCTTGCAGAGGCCCTGAGTTTTGGTTCCCAGCATCCACATGGCAGCTAACAACTGTCTATAACTCCAGTTCCAGTAGTCTGACGTCCTCTTCTGACCTCCATGGGCACTGCACGACACAAGTGCACTTACATATATGCAGGAAATACATTCATTCAGATAGAATAAAAATAATAAAATATGTTTTTTAAAAAGTTTGCTGGATGAGCTCCCTCTGGGCTCTGTGGTGGGAGCAGTTCCTCTGTCTTGCTTAGCTCTGCTGTGGGTATGCATCAGGCAGGCTTCCAGGAGCCAGTCCTCCTGGAAAGAGCCAGAGCTAGAATCTTGGAGGCTAAGACTTGGAGTGGAAGGAGCTGAGGGCAGTGACTTCCTCATGGGACAACTCACCACTCAACCAGTCTCCTACTTCTCCCCTCCCCCTGCAGGGGCATCACAGACCTGACAGTCTCTTTATCTACTTGAGGAACTCTGTGGGGCTTGGAGTGGCAGAACAAAGGCTCTGGGTCACACCAGGCTAGGTCACTGTGCCCTGGTGAGTCTCCACTGTTCCAAGCCCTCATGTAAGAGGGAACCACAGAGCTGAAGAGACTTGGTACATCAAAGATGCATGAGAGTGGGGGTTTGTGGAGGACCCACAAAAATAGGCTTTCTTTTTAAAAAGCTTTTAAAAATGTATTTGTGTGTGTGTGTGTGTGTGTGTGTGTGTGTGTGTGCATGCTCATGGAGGGCAGAAGAGGGCGTCAGATTCCCTGGAACTGGCTATTGTAGGCTATTGTGAGCTGCCTGAGATGTTTGTGAACCAAACTCAGGTTCTCTAGAAGAACAGCAAGCACTCTTAAACCCCGAGTCTTCTCTGCAGTCCCACAGGCTTTCTTATTGTTAGGACCTAAAACATATAAAGAAATCACAGATGATGATCCTTGGGTGCTGGCCAATGGGGTGCTGTGCTGGTTAGTTTTCTGTCAACTTGACACAAACTAGCGTCACCTACGAAGAAGGAACCTCATTTGAGAAATTTCCTCCATCAGACTGGCCCGTGGGCATGTTTATGAGGCATGTTCTTAATTGTTAGTTGATGTAAGAGGGTCTAGCCCACTGTGGGTAGTGCCATCCCATACCTGGTGGGCCTGGACTATATAAGAAAAGTAGGTGAACTCCAGGCATGCTGGCTCATGCCTTTAATCCCAGCCTTCAGGAAGCAGAGGCTGGCAAATCTCTGAAAGATCAAGGCCACCCTCATCTACATCATTTCTTCAAGGTGAATTGGGACTAGGGTCAAAAGAAAAAAAAATGAAAAAGAAGGAAAAGAAAAGAAGTTGAGCAAACCAGTGAGTAGCGTGTTCCTCCATGGTCTCGGGCTTCGGTTCCTGCCTCCAGTTTCCTGCCCTGCCTGAATTTCTACTTTGACTTCCCTCAGTGATGTAGTGCATGGCAAATAAACCTTTTCCTTCCCCAAGCTGCTCTTGATTAGTGTTTTATCACAGCAAAAGAAAAGTAACAAGAACAGGTGCTTATTGGCTGCTTCCCCAGGGTGGGTCAAGCAGAACCTTAGTCTTCACTGAAACAGCTTCTTGCTCTTCGGATCTCTTCACCAGGTAGGAAAACTAGCCCACGGAGGCACTGGTCTTCTCTGTGTCTCTGGGTCTCCTCTGCGGTCTTGTGCTGAAGTGCTCAGGGAATTCCTCTGCCTGGGTGAGCCCCAGGACTTCTCAGGTTCAGCCAAAGAAGAGGGCAAATCAGATTTGGATTCAAAATTGGGAATCTTGAAATCCAGCCTTTGCTCAGGGAATTTGACTCCCTTCTCTCCTGTGGGCACCCACCTTCCCACAGCTGCTGATGCATTCGCCCAGTCTGCATAGGGCTGAGCAGAGGGCAGAGGGTTGTCATGATCTACTGGCCCTAATCCACAGTGAGTGGTCTTGGGGCATGGCAGTCCATCTTGCAAAGAAGCAAAAGAGTTTTTTTGTGTCAGAGGCCAATCAGAGGAACAGCCTGCAGCCTGGTCACTTAGAGGCTGGCAAGCCCTTCCATATAGATTCTGTAGGCTCAGGCCTTTGCCCCACCCACATTAGAATAGACAGAGTGCATCGCTTTTCTTGGATAGGTGCTGTGAGCAACAAGGGGTGATCTTGGCTCATCTTCTGATGTGACTGCATAAGTGTTTGCACCTGGGGTCTTGGGTGCACATTCCATCATTGGGGTGTGTGTGTGCTGGATAGCTTCACTTGTTAAGTTGATAGTCCTGGGAAGAAGGGACTCAGCTGGGAATTTCAGCTATCAGATTGGCCTGTGGACATGTCTGCGAGGCATTTTCTTGATTGCTGAGTGATATGGGAGGGCCCAGCCCACTGTGGGTGGTGCCACCCCTGGGCAGGTGGTCCTTAAAGAAAGCATACTGAGCATAGTCAGAGCAGCAGTGGCATTCCTTTATGGTCTGTGCTCCAGTTTCTGCCTCCAGGTTTCTGTCCGGAGTTCCTACCCTGGCTTTCTTCAAAGATGGACTGTGCCTTGAAAGTAAGATGAACTATATCCTTTCCTTCCTAAGTTGTTTTTAGTCAGAGTGTTTTATCATGGCAACAGAGACACAGACTAGGACAGTGTGTATACACTCTGCCCTGCATGTAATAATGAGGGTGGGAGCCATAGTCTCCAGGTAACTCCCCAGAATGCCCTTTTCAATGTATTATCCACCCTCAACCACAAGCATACTCTTGGGGGTGGCATGGGTCTGGTCCAGTTTCCCAGGATTCAGTCTGGTGGCTCTGGAGGGCCTGCTGAGTGGAAGGTGATTTATGATAGCAGCTGGCAAGGAGTGAAGGGAGAGGGAGAGAGGGAGGGAGAGAGGGAGGAAGGGAGGGAGGGAGGGAGGGAGGAGGGAGGGAGGGAGGGAGGGAGGGAGGGGCAGGACCTGGAGGATGAAGCCCCAGACATCTACACAGAGGGAGCTCACAATCATGTGTAAATATGTGTTAATGCTCCTCATCTCTCTAGGGAGTGAATCTGTCTTGCCATTCATTCATTCATTCATTCATAAAATGTACTCTGTTGGTCACTGAAACCTGACAAGAAGCAAGCTGGGGAGGAAAATTTATTTTGGCTGATGGTTTAAGGGGATGCAGGCCACGAAGCAGGAGTGGTGGCAGTAGCAGCTTGAAGCTGTGGAAATGGGAGTGTGTGGCCGCTTGCTGACATCTGGGTTGAATGGGAAACAGAGAATGAAGAATGCTGGTGTGCTCAGCTACCTTTCTCGTTTTCCTCTTTTTATTCAATCAGGGACACCAACCCATAGGAGATGTTGTCATATTCAGGGCATCTCCCCCCGCCCCCAGTTAATCCTTTTTGGAAGCATCTTCACAGACATCTAGAAGTATGCCTGACTATTCCTCTCAGTGTTACTTAATCCAGTTGACAATCAAAAGTAACTGTCAAGTGGCTATAAGGCTAATATGGTGCTAGGTGGGGCAAGACAAAGAGATAGTTTGGGGGCAGGAACAAGAGGTTCAGAGGAGAGGAAGGAATAAAGAAATGTTTCTGCCCATTAATGGGTTCACGATTTGATGGGCCACTGGGAGGTGATGGAAACTTAGAAGGTGGGACTGATAGGAGTGTGTCCTTATGGGCCTGCCCTTGGGGCTATATCTTGTCCCTGCCCAACCTCTCTGCTTTCTGGCCACCATGAAGTGAACATCTTTGCTCTACTGCATGTTTCCTTCTGTGATATCTCATCACAGACACAGAGAAAACAGCCAGGT